TAGAATATCAGAAATGGACAATACACTGAAAGAGCAAAGGAGAAAAATTGAAGTGATGGAAGTCAGAACTAGTGAGCTGGAAGGAAAAGATCTCAATACTACTAAGATAGAAGAGCAAGAAGAAAAAAGGATAAGAAAATCTGAAGAAGGTCTAAAATTCATGCTGGATAACATGAAGAGAAATAACTTAAGAATTATTGGCATTCTGGAACAGGAAAAATCACACAAGACCACAGAGGAAAGATTTGAAGAGCTCCTAGAAGAAAATTTCCCTAACATTCTGAAAAGATAAGCATTCAAGAAACTCAATGAACCCTAGGAAGGATAGACCCTAAAAGAAAATCATCAAGACATATAATAATCAAACTTATCTCTAAAAGATAAGGACAGAATCCTAAAAGCAGCTAGGGAAAAAAGAAATGTTACCTAAAAAGGCAAGCAAATCAGATTAAGCTCGGATCTCTCAGCAGAAACAATGCAGGCAAGAAGGCAATGGGGAGACAATATAAAACTCTGAAAAAAACAAAAACAAAAACAAAAAAAACCTGCCAACCAAGAATCCTTTATCTAGTAAAGTATCAATCAAATATAATGGTGTAATAAAAAATATTCCAGGATAAACAAAAGCTAATACATTTTATGAAGCACACATAACCCTCATACCAAAACCAGGGAAGGATGTCACTAAGAAAGAAAATTATAGACCAATATCCCTCATAAACATAGGTGCAAAAATTATAACAAAATCCTAGCCAACAGAATACAGCAGCACATCAAAAAAATAATACTTCATGACCAAGTGAGATTCATATCGAGGATGCAGGGATGGTTCAACATTAGAAAAATGATCAGTGTACTCCACCATATAAATAAGAAAAAAGAAAAGAACCACATGATCATATAGATTAATGCAGAAAAGGCATTTGACAAAATCTAACATCCATCCCCAAAATAAACACTCAGCAAAGTAGGAATTGAAGGGAAATTCCTCAACATAATTAAGAGCATATATACAAAACCAACAGCCTACATTACTCTCAATGGGTCAAGGGGAGGGAGGGGAATGTGGAGCACAGGGTAGGGAGGAGACACAGGATAGCTTTGGTGCTGGGAGTTGGGGAGTAATACACAAAAAGGGGGAGGGGAATGGAAGAACAAGGTGGATGGGAGAACAGTTAGGCAAGTTTTCATGGACTAAGTCAGACAGAAGTAAATAATGATGTATGCATAACCTTGGAACAACACGGCTCTGGGATACAGGGATTGAGGCATGGTTTGAATGGGTAAAAGAGGGGAAATAATGTTAAGATGCTTGGCTGTCTTTTGAATCTTGATTTCCCTTGCCTACCATTATAAAATAGATACTTAAGGGGGAGTGAAAGGAATAGCCAGAAATATCACCAGAAAAAGCTTGTAAGTCCGTCTTCAGCCTATAACAGTCTGGAATATCTAAAATGGGGTTACAACATGCCTAGTGAAGGAGGCTTCCTATGGAACCTCTGCATTACATAAGACCACAGGTGGAATCCTGAACAGCATCCAGAATCTTCTAAGGTGGGAAATTTCCACTGGAGAGGACAAGCAGACCAACCTGGAGTAGCAAGAACAGAAGACATTTCTTGAGAGAAAGACTAGTAGGAAAAAATCAAAAACAGTAATGGCAGTCTGGCTGACTACTACAAGAACAAGCAAGTTGCTCGCCCAGGAGCCATCAAGGCAAGTGGTTGGGTCCCCTCAGGATAAACCTCCTTCCAAGACTATGACTCAATGGGAATACACAAGCAGGCGTGTGGTCTGGCTGGTTACCATGTTGGTCACCAATAAAGGGAAATGGGGGAAAACCAGCAATGTAGTTGTGAGCTAAGTCTGACCACGTTCAATAGACTCCTGTGAACCCCAGATGGAGACCTGGTTGGAAGGCAGTATGGCAAGACCTGGGGACTCCTAGGCTCAGAGGCAGTGACATAACCACAGAGGACTACAGTGGAGAGTGAAGTGTCTAGCTGATAAGAAGAGAGGGCATCTGCACATGAACATCCACACTTGCAGATAATACCCACTTGACCTCCTTCATCAGCTGGATGGTCAGAACTCAACTAGAAGAAGAAAGAAGAGGGAAAAATATAAAATCTGATACAATTTGATGAACTTGACCTATACCTATGGATGCAATAGCTCAAAAGAGGGAACAAATCTTTACAGCAAAGATCATTCCCACCTCCTCAGTACGTAGGGTTGACAGAGATGGGCAACTTAGACACTGGCTATCCACAAGGGGGTTGGTGGGAGCTACAAAGGCAAGAAGTGACTGGCTTATAAGCTTTAAAGAGGTAGCCTAGTTCCAGAGGGTGCAGGGGAAGGTAGAATCTCCACTGAGTGGTTTCCAATTTGCCTGGACAGGGCTGTTGAAGGGAGATGGGGATAAGACTCTTGTACAATAGTGAATAACTGCTATCAGGACTGACTGTGAGGGTTGGAAGTATATAAAGGTTGATGTTTTGTAACAAAAGAAGGGGAGTGCTTGATTTTGCAGTCTGGGAGCGGAGGTCCCTGGGACCATCAAGTGAGAGGAGTAGAGTGGGGGACCCTACCCAGAGAAGCAGTAATGTCAGAGATGGAGGCAGAGACAATGATGTGGTGAGATGGAGCAGCTGTGGACTCTGGACTCAGGGAGGGAGAGGGGCTGAGTATTGATGGCCAGGGGGCAGGCTTGCGGGCTGTACTCTTTGGTTGTTTGATGATACATGGAGGGATTGTAATCATTGCAATGAAATGAAATACTATAGGATGAATATAAAGCTAATGTTCTCCCATGTAAACTATCACATAATTCACAATAGAAACTTAAAAAAAAAGGGTATGCTTTGACTTGTAGGCAGAAGTATTCAATCTCATGTATCATGTATCACTTGAGTGTTGTAGCATTATCTTTCTGTTTAATTTTCTTTTGCAAATATTACTGTGGAGTTCATCATGGCTCCTAAGCACAGCAAAACCAGTGTTAGTGATAGCAGTTGTTGTTGTTGTTGTTATGTGCTGTGGAGTTGGTTCCGACTCATAGCGACCCTGTACAAGGTTTCCGAGGCTGTAAATCTTTACGGGAGCAGAAAGCCTCATCTTTCACCTATGGAACAGCTGGTAGTTTTGAATTGCTGACCTTGTGGTTTGTGGCCCGATTCATAACCACCACGCTACCAGAGCTCCTTTAGCCAGAGTCAAAGGAGAAGTACCCATTTGGAAGTGAGCTGAAAGATTATTAAACACACAAAAACGAAAAATCAGTGAATGCTACTGCCCACAATGTAGGCATGTTGTGCTTGACAATCACATGATCCTCAAAACCAAAGAAAAACTTCCCCAAGCTGTTAAAGAATTGGCTCCACTGAAAACTATAAGGTTTATGAAAAGGGAGAAGGAACTCTAGCAGATGTGGAGAAATTGATAATGACATGAATTAGAGACCCATCAAAAAGCGAATCCTCGCAGCATATAGACAATCACTAACAAGGCAAAAACTTGTTAAAGATGCTTAAAGAAAATCAGGAACATTCTATGATACAGTGTTCACATAACAACGAAATTATACAACTTCTAGAAATAACATTAAGTGGCATATAACTATAGTTGAAAGGAGAGTCAAACCCTGGGAGTTGGCTTCAGAATCCATGATCTAAACAATTGCACTATGCTGCCTCCATTCTTATTTCCTTTTTAAACAGAATATTCAACAAGACATGGAATCATAAAGCCCAAAAGACAAGCGGAGAAGATTTTAGAGATCAATCAATTTAATCACTGCATTTTACATGCTGGGAAAAGTCAACTTGCAGGCCACTTTCCTGATTTAGTGAAAAAGGAAAGGCTATGCTAGAGGTTTTCAAAACCAGTGGGGAGCGCTAGGACCTAGGTGAAAGGCCTTAGAGGCTGTCAGTACGGGAGTGGGTTGTTGTTGTTGCTGTTAAGTGCCGTGGAGTCGGTTCCGACTCATAGTGACTCTGCACAGGGTTTCTGAGGCTGTAAATCATTACGGGAGCAGAACGCCTCATCTTTCTCCCGCAGAACCGCTGGTAGTTTCGAACTGCTGACCTTGTGGTTCACAGCCCGATTCGTAACCTCTACGCAGTGGGTAGAGACGCTAATTCACCTAGCCCTGACCAGCTTCTATGTAGCAGACTTCTGAATAAAAAATTGTGTGTGAAGGAGGTATTCCTCTGCTTTAACAAAAGTTTTAAATGCCTGGTCTCCCTAAATTTCTACTGAAGTTGCATGAAACAACGTAGGGCTGAATGTCAGCTTGGGGTAGGGGTGGATTGTCTAGCATCACCACCAGTCAGGACAGTTTCCTAATTCCATAAATGTCCTTATTAGCTTCATGCATAGCAATACCTTTTCCATCACTGTATCACCAACTGTGTTTGACATATAGTCAAAACTCTATCGACTTTATCTGAAAAGTAGAAGTGGAGTTCCAGGAGGCATTCACTGATTAATCAATTCTTGGAAACAAATTAAGTTTGTTCGAAATGAACAATGTAGCAAACTATGGTGACCCAATGTTATGAAAATGTTTGGAAAGTTATCACTGTGGGCATGCTTGGCCATATATTCTCAAACGACCTATGGAAATGTCCTTTCTTCAACATTGTGCTAGAAAACAAAAGATTAAAAAATGGAAATATTAAATTGACTAGTTTGGTCTCAGAGACACACAATCATTAGTCCCAAGGAAGCACACACAAACAAATACCACTATCTACTTCAGTTTAGTACATGATATGGTCCAACTTTGCTGATAACATTGAGTTGAGTTCAAAAGTTTTCTTTGCTTTAACACAGGTTATTTTTGTGATGATAGCAGTTCTAATACATTTAGCGCATGGTTTGATACAGCCACTGAGTTATATAAAACACACAAATGAATGGATTTGAGAAGGAAGGCGATTAGTGGGACATAAGGGAGAGAGGTCTGAGATAGGTGTTTGAGGAAGCTGTGCTCTTACCTTGCGTGGACCCATCATCTCCCATGAGGAATTTAATTGAGGTGATGATTTTCTCTGATATCGGGGGACTCATGGATGTGGCATAAGCAGCACTATGTGAATTAGCCCGCAAATAATCCACAAGGTCCTTGAATAAAGGAGGAAACCCAAACAGAAGGAATTATCAGTATCAATGTTGGTGGTGTGCATAACATCTCCCTTCACCATTCATTACAGCAAAAGACATTTCATTGTAGTATCTCAAAAGATGAAATTAGTCGGGCTTTCAATGGGCCTCACCAAACAATTTCTTTTTTCAATCACTTTATTCCCAACCTCAACCATGATTGTTGGTGCTGTTAAGTGCCCTTGAGTCAGTTCTGACTGAGTTAGGTTTCCAAGGCAGCACTTCTTTGAAGACGCAGAATGCATCATTTTTCTCTTGCTCACCCACAATAACTAATAAGATATGCAGAAGTAGAATTATAAAAATTTGGAGATGAAGTGTAAGACAAAACCAGATAGATATATAAAGAAAAATGACTCCTTAAACATTTATTGAGCACGTAATACCTAACGCACTGGACCACAAAGTCAGTTTGAACCACAAAGTTAGTGGTTCAAATCCACTAGTCACTCCTTAGAAACCACAAAGTCAGTGGTTCAAATCCACTAGTCACTCCTTAGTATGAATTGGAATCAACTTGATGGCACTAAACAACAACAACAACAACAATTATGTGTGAACACTAGCTTAGCAGTCACGAGTGTCCAAAAAATACAGAATGTGACTCTTGTCTTCAAAAATACTAAGTAATATCCCCTCTGTATACAGGGTAGATAGGGATGGGCAACTTAAACATTGGCTACCTAAAATGAGGGGGCAATAAAGGCATGAAGCAACTGGCTTACAAGGTTTCAAGAGGGAGTTTAGTTTCAGAGTGTGTGTGGGAAGGAAGAGTCCCTACTGAACAGTTTTCATGTTGTTTAGACAGGTCTGGTGAAAAGAGATGGGGATAAGATTCTTATGATTCAATAGTGAGTTATTGTTATCTTGACTAATTGTGACTGTCAAAATTGTAAAGGTAGTAGTTTTGTGGCAGAAATGGGGGAGTAATTAATCTTACAGTCCAGAAACAAAGGGCCCGAGGACCATCAAGAGAGAAGAGCACAAGCGAAATCCGGGACCCTAGTCAGAGAAGCAGAGACAAGATGGAGGCAGAGATGAGGACATGGAGAGAGGGAGCAGCTGAGAACTCTGGTCTCATGGAAAGAGAGGGACTGTGTGCTGACATCCAGGAGGCAGGCTTGCAGAATGTGCCCTTTGGTTGGTTAAATGATTATATATTCCTGAGTGTTTCTGTGTACAACCTGTCCCCGACCCCATACAAACAAACAAAAAACAAAACAACAGAGGGAATGGAAGAAAATACTGTTGCAAGATTTTAATCATTGCAATGAAGTGATGGTGTAAAATTGGTGTTCTCCCATGTAAACTATCACTCAGTTCACAATAAAAACTTAAAAAAAAAAAATACTATATAAGATTTTTCCCATAGAAAAGTGATAGGATAAGCAGCCATACATGCAAACTAATGTGCAACGGGGTTGCAAAATTCGAGATAATAGAGAGGGCCCTCTTATCTATATTGGTTAGAGAAGCCTCCTATAAAGAAATGGAAATGACTAAGCCTTAAAAAATGGAGATAAAAGAGGAAATTAAATTTGGGGTTCGAGATGGAGAATTAGCAGAAGGAAGAGGCTGAATATAAATGCAGAGGATATTAAAGTAGATGACATGTATAGTAGATTGTTTGCAAAATAATGGTTGTAATTTGTCCTCTCTTTGTACACTTGGTGGTGGTGCCTGTCTGACTCATAGGGACCCTGTACAGGGTTTCTGAGGCTATAAATTCTTACGGGAGCAGAACGCCTCATCTTTCTCCCACGGAACAGCTGGTAGTTTCAAACTGCTGACCTTGCAGTTCGCAGCCCGAATCATAACCACTAAGCTACCAGAGCCCCTTACACCTTTGTAATTCAATGTTGCAACCCCTTCCATCAAGAGGTGGATAGATTCAGATTGGCCTTGTGATGTGCTTTGACCAACAGAATATGCCAGAAGTGATAGGGCACTAGTTCTGCGTTTACGCCTCAAGAGGCCTTGAGTGCTTTCGTTTTCTCAGAACCCTGCCCACCTGCCCTGTGAACAAGCCCTTGCTAGCCTGCTTCAGGATGAGAGACAGGTGCAGTAGACATGAGGCTTTACAGCTGAGGTCATTTAGCCTAGGTCAGCTAGTTCCCAGTTTACCCAGTGACACTGTGAAACAGGGCCAACTCAGTTGTGACCAATAGAACTGCCCATCGGGGCCCAATCTAAATGGTTGATGTGCAGAATTATGAGCTAAGTAAATGGTGGTGTTTTTTTCACTAAGTTTGGGGGTGGTTTGTTAAACAGAATAAGCTAATACGCATAGCATGTTTGGAGGAAAGCAAATGACACTTTGACCGGAGGTTAGTGGAAAATCAAAGAATAGGTTCAGTCTCAGTCTCACTGTCCTCTAGTCGATTCCGGCTCACGGTGACTCTATACAGGGTTTCCAAGACTGTAAATCTTTATGGAAGTACAAAGCTTCTCCCAGGGACTAGCTGGTGGGTTTGAACTGCTGACTTTATGGTTAGAAGTTAAACTTTTATCCTACAGTACCATCTGGCGTCAAATAAACACAAAGGCAAGAACTTTAGAGTTTATGCCTTGGACAGCTGAGAACAATTAGAACTTTTGTGCAATACTATTTGGAGCTCTGACCTACTACATAATGTTGTTGTTGTTGTTATGTGCCGTGGAGTCGGTTCCGACTCATAGAGACCCTGTACAGGGTTTCCGAGGCTGTAAATCTTTACGGGAGCAGAAAGCCTCATCGTTCTCCCATGGAACAGCTGGTAGTTTCGAACTGCTGACTCTGAGGTTAGCAGCCTGATTGGTAACCACTACGCTACCAAAGCTCCTGGTATTTAATGGTAAGAATAAATTTCACCTGTATCTTTGACTCCCAAGGAGCCCTGGTGGCACTGTAGGATCAGTCATGGACTGCTCACCACAAGCTTAGCAGTTCAAACCAACCAGCTGCTACATGGGAGAAAGAGGGTTTCTGCTTCCATAAAGATTTACAGCCTCTGAAAGTCTTTGAAATTGACTTGATGGCTGTGGATTTGGTTTGGTTTGGGTATGTTTGACTCCTAAAGTCCAAAGTAAACTTTCAGGTAAATTGCCCAAAGAAACTCCACTAGCCTACCACCACAGTAGGGAGGGGCTTAGGGAATATGGATTTGCTCAGCCCCTACTAGGTAGACAATTTGTAGACCCGCTTGTACTGACATACAGCTTGGAACCCTCAAGGTGCCCTGTAGAAAACCTAATGGGCTGATGACAGCTGTCTACATTAGCAGTGAGGCCTGTAATGGACCAGCCACTTTCTTCTTGAGGGAGGGAGTTTAGAATCTCACTCCCTAATAATTCTCACATGATGGTGATTTGGGAAGCGCTCTCAGGAAGAAGGAAAGCAGCTTTGGGCAAGCCCACTCCCTACACCCCTCTTTCAGTGGCTATACCATTTGCTTCCACACATATTCATTCCTACCCAAATCCTGGAACTGCATCCTGCCCCTCAGTTTTCCTTTTCTCTTGGAATATGGGTTGGATATTGTTTTGTTTTGTTTCTCAAATGTTTTAAAGATTTAAAGATTTCCTTAGTGAACGAGGTTGCCTGCTTCACAGGCTGTTGAGTGAAGGTGAAATCAATCACTTGATCCCTCAAACTGACTCATGGTCGGAACTAATTACCCTCCATCTATGTCTTTCCTGGAGTCCTGGTGTGGCACTGTGGGTTAATGCTCCAGACTGCAAAGCCCTTTGAACTGCAAGATTGGCAGTTCAATCTCACCAGCTGCTCTTCGGAAACCCTACACAGGGTCACTATTCATCTGCACTTAACAACAACAACAACAACAACATGTCTTTCCTGCATCCTTCATTTTCAATACATCCTCTCTTCCACTGTTTCTTCTTTCCTGCCTTCCTTTCTCCTCTTTATCTCCTTCACTTCAAATTCTTCATTCCTTTTTTGTTCTTCATTTCCTTCTATCCTTGTTCTTTCTCTATTTTCATTTCAAATTCTCCATTCTAAATTTTTTCTTCCTCTTCATTTTTAAATCAGTCTATCTTTTGTTCCCCCTTCCTGTCCTCCCTCTCTCCCTTCTCCTTTCATTCCCAGTCCTCCTTCCCTTTCATCTTTCCTCCCAACAAAAACAAATGTAAAAGACTTCCTTTGGGCTACACTATGAATGTGTATTGCCATCCAAGGGGAGAGGGAGAATCCAAAAGATCCAGGACAAACCCTGACATCTATTAGCCATTTATATAATTAAACTTGAGTGTCTGTATATTCTTTTATTTAATGAATCTCATAATAACAGTTGGGTGAGTTTTTACAAAACTTGAATATGTGTAGGATAACTGCCTGACTTCGTGTTGTTGTTGTTAGGTGCCATCGAGTCAGTTCCAGCCCATAAGGACCCTAGGGTACACAACAGAGTGAAACACCGCTGGAGTCTTGTGAGATCCTCACAATTGCTGCTGCTATACTTGAGCCCATTGTTGCTGCCACTGTGCCAGTCTGTCTCATTGGGAGTCTCCCTCTTTTTCACCGTCCCTCCATTTTACCAAACAAGATATCCTTCTTCAGGGACTGGTCCCTCCTGATAACATGTCCAACGTATAAGAGACAAATCTGTCCAGCTTGTCTACTAAGGAGCATTCTGGTTGTATTTCTTCTATCACAGATTTGTTTGATTTTTTGGTAGTCCATGGTACCTTTAATATTCTTCTTCAACACCACAACTCGAATTTATAAATTATTCTACAGTCTTATTTATTGTCCAACTTTCATATGCATATGAGGCCATTGAAAATACCATGGCTTGGGTCCATCTTAGGCCTCAAACTGACATCTTTGCTCTTGAACACTTTAAAGAGGTCTTGTGCAGCAGATTTGCCTAATGCAATGCATCTTTTCATTTTTTGACTGCTACTTCCATGAGTATTCGTGGTGCAGACAAGCAAAATGAAATCCTTGACAACTTCAATCT